AGTTATTTAAGATTTAGTTTTAAAAGGTATATTTTTTGTTTTTTTAACCAGCAGCTTATGACTTTAAACGTTACGCCATGTAAAAACTATATCTGGCCATGTCATATTGCCATTAGCTATCGCCTTTGCTATCGCTAAAATAGTGATTATAATATAAGAGCAGTGCTTATAATATAATAAATTCAAATAATTAATTTTTTTGACAGAAGGAAATAAATTGTCCCATGGTTTGACACCTAATATCAAACAAAAAATCTCCGATCCAGATATTGTAGTTCTCCAGAAACTTCTAATGCATGCTCAGCCTGGGACACCCTGTATACAATATTTTATAAAATATTGCATATTATCCTGTCAAATTTTTCATCACATATCTTTTATAAAAGATCTTTGACAAATAAATTTTATGTTGTAAAGGGCCGTTCACACTTTTTAAAAGGTAAAAATACGATTTAATTATATGATTTTATACAATGGCTACAGGCTTTTTTGGTGGAACGGTGTATAATATGTGGGTAGCCTAAAGTGAATATTGTATAATCTACTTAAATCAAACAATGGGGATATTAAGAAACATAATATAAGGAATATTAAGACTCTTACTATGGGTATGACTTGTCAAGTCTCTACATTGATTTTTAAGATACTCGGCTGAATGTCAACCTGTTCTTTTAGGTTGGAAATATATTCAGTCATGTTTATTTAAATTAAGTTTCATATCTGGTATTGATAATCGTTAATATTTTTACATATAAATAGGCTTTTAAAGTTAATGTATTAATAAAAGTACCAATAAACTAAAATGATGTAACTAATATACAGGGTCAGTTTCCTACGATGTTCTCTATGGGCATCTCGGAACCTACTGGAGATAGAGAGTCGGTTAAATGGGGAAAGAATTGCAGTTTTGTGGGGTCATAAATATGCGCCTTTCAGATTTTTGAAAAAGTTCATGGCTTACTAGCTATTTCGAAAAATAAAACAAATTTCCGCTATTTTGAAAATTGTCCCTAATTCCATTATAATATATTTTCGACAAAAAGTTTTCAGATAAAAATTGTAGATAATCACATCCTTAATGAGATTGTGTCCGCCGTTTTTTTCTAAAGCTTGTCATTTTTGACATATGACACAAACATATGTTTTTTTAAATATAGGAAACTATAGTTGGCCATGGCTTCATAAAAAGCGCCATTTTTTAAGCTTTTTAGCGATATAAGCTATAATGTGTTTTCTTCGAAAAATTACTGAATTATAGCCAATTCTTATCATTTTTAAACAATTTCATTTAGTGAGCCATGGAAACAAGTTCAATTGCCGTTGCTCTCATAAATGTGAAGCTGTCACATCCAAACTTTGTAAATTAAAATAAACAAAAATTGTAAATATGAATTTTTCAAATGAAGAAAAGCGTGTAGATACTCGTGCATCAATAGGGTGGTTCCAACATGACTTTCATTATGACCCCCCTCCCATAATGAAAGAAATGTTAAACATTATTTATATCATAATTATGTAGACTCAGGGATATAAAGAGGTGGACCAATTGCATGGGCCTCCTCGATCACCTGTCCTATCCATTTTAGATTTTTTAATGCGATATGGTTAACAGGAAGGTTTACAAAAAACCTTATGAATTAAGAAAGGCACTCGAAGTGGCATGGCGGTACGAGAGAAGTTTAATTAAGTCGACCGGTCCTTCTGTGAGAATAGGTAGTAATTCAGTTTTAAAAAGATGCAATTCAAAACAATGGCGGATTTTTTGAACATTTTCTAAAATAACTTAAAGTGTATGTAGTGATATGATTTTTTTAAGATTTAGTTTGTGTAATGTAAATTGTAATTGTTGTAATGTTGAACCGTTTAATAAGATATTCAGACATTTTATAAGTTATAAATCATAACAGAATAAGAATACCATGCAATCTAAGTGAAATTAGTCAAGAAAGATAAGAATTGGCTATAACTAAATTTAACTTTTCTAACATGTCTTGAAAGCCGTTCTCTAAAAAACGTAACATTCAACGGGCAACGTATCCTCGAAAATGTATGGTCAAGAAAAGTTGAACCAATAATCCTACAAGCTTTTCTTCATTTGAAAAATCCATATTTACAATTCTTGTTTATTTTAATTTACAAAGTTTGGATGTAACAGCTTCACATTTCTGAGAGCATAGACGATTAAACTTGTTTCCATGGCTAACTAAGTGAAATTGTTTAAAAATTATAAGAATTGGCTATTACTCGGTAATTTTTCGAAGAAAACATAATATTATAGCTTATATCGCCGAAAAGCTTAAAAAATGGCGCTTTTTATGAAGTCATTGCCAACTATGGTTTCCATTTAAAAAAATATATGTTTGTGTCATATGTCAAAAATGACAGGGTTTAGAGAAAAAAGGAAGAAACGGAATCATTAAGGATGTGATTATCTACAACTTTTATCTGAAAACTTTTTATCTAAAATAGCTTATAATGGAATTAGGGACAATTTTTAAAATAGCCGTAATTTGTTGTTTTCGAAATATCTAGTAAGCCATGAACTTTTTCAAAAATCTGAAAGGCGCATATTTATGATCCCACAAAACTGCAATTCTTTCCCCATTTAACCGACTCTCATCTCCAATAGTTTCCGAGATACCCATAGAGAACATCGTAGGAAACTCACCCTGTATTAAAGCAAAATTATTTAGTTAAATCTATATAGAAATAACGATGAGGAACGATTGGAGAGAGATAAAAAAATAAATCTGTAGAATGTAGAATAATGCGGATGTGCGTATTACTCAGTATGTGAAGTGCTCATTTACTTAAAAATGTTTATAATCATGTTTATGACTCTTTGTAACTAGGTATTTATTTTAGCATTTAAAGGAAATAATTATTATTCAAATAAAACATAATTTATGGAATGAAAATAATTTATGGACTCTGATGCTATTTTGTTAGTGTTATATCAATATTAGTTCTTTTTTATTTTAACTTGAATGCTCTATATTCTGACTGATTTCAGTGCTTTATATTGTATTAATGTATTTAAACAGCGATTTGATTTTAGGAACTCTTCCTGAATTTTAATTGTTTTCACTATGTTATTTTGCATATATTATTTCCATCTTAAGGAATGGCGTATTTTTTTTACTAACTCAGTTAATTTATTTTAGTCTTCTTCATACATTGACTGCCAATTTTGGTATAATGTATAATTATGCATAATGCATATTCTGTTGTTATAGCAAGACTTCTGAAAGTCAGCGGGCGTCATTCTTAGTATACCTATTATCTAACTATTTTAATATTCTAGTCAGTTGTCTTTAGCATGAAACATTTCTTACCATTTGTAGATGATGTTGGAGAATATACCTACCATATAGAATTTTTTTTGAGAGATATATGCAATGTTTTTATTACGTGGTTCATTTTTAGCGGACGAATATAAGTTGATTTTTTTGTAACAAAAGTATAGCTTAAGCACAGATTAACTTACAGATGTGGCGTTTATTTCATCTTGTTGATAAACGCCGCGCCGCTCTGACCTCGGACCTTTAATAGGGCTATGGCGTTGTCAGACTTTGTTTTTTTTTCTCGAATTAATTTTCTCCTTTTATAAAAAATGTATTCCCAATTGAAATATTGTAAACATTGCTTTTTATAGCGATTCATCATACGCATGCGCTGTATATTCGGTCCTTTTAAATAGGATATTTAAAGGGACGGAATGTATCCTTGTTTTATTTAGTTTCTCTGTCTTATTGATAAATCTGTGTTAATCTGTAACGTAGGGCTATATGTATACTGTTTCTGGAATTCATAAAATACTATTAATTTTAAATGAAATATACAGGGGGGTCCGAATGCATTCGAGAAACCTTTGCAATATATTATGCAGATAAGTAAAAAAGTTCGTATAATTTATGTTCTAAAGTTCTTCGTTTCGGAGATACAGAGTGAGAAGTTTCATTTTTATTTCGTTTTTTCCCAATAATTTCTGAAATAACGGCAATACTTGGATAAATATTGATGTTTTTTTTAAAAACCTACGTTATTAGGCTTCAATGTTGTAGTGTGACTAGATTTTCTGATATTGGTACCGCATGATTGAAAAAAACTTCGATCGAAAAGATTCGATTCTGAATAAAATCAAAGTCACTTTAGGACATTAGATTAGAATGAACAACGACATACCAGTAAAAGGCGTTTGGGAAGCTAAAATGTAGGGAAAGAGACCAAAGGGAAGGCCAACTAAAACATGAAATGACACAATAGAGAAGATAGTGCAGGATAAAGGACCAACATTAATAGGGCTATGGCGTTGTCAGGCCAACTAAAACATGAAATGACACAATAGAGAAGATAGTGCAGGATAAAGGACCAACATTAACAGAGGCCAAAAGTTTAGCAAGAGACAAAAATAAATGGGAACAATTTGTTTATAGTGTAGCAATTATGTGAATTTATTTAATTTAGTATACCTTACACCTTCGGGTAGAAAATTGTTTGATTGAAAGTTCTCAAATAAAAAAAAATCTTTGAAAAAAAAAGCGGCGTCCAGTTGACTTGAAAATGACGACCGATGACACATGTCATATAATTTCATTTACAAAATTCCAGCAATCTTCATTTCCAAGTCATCCCTGACGCCGTTTTTTTTTATAAAAAAAACCTTTTAGAGAAGTTTCGTAATTATGACTTTATTAGCCAAAAAAATTGTCATAAACGTTTCGAGTACATATTGGGGAAAACAATGTTACTCTTTGGAATCCCCATATCACAACAGAGTCGAAAAATGCAACAATTTCAAATTCGCCCTGTATTTCAGGAACTAAGAAGGACAAATCGGTGTGTAGCTTCCTTAGTTTAAAAAAATAGCACAGTGATGTGATAGCGCATCATTGTATCTCTATTCATAAACGAAAAACCCCATAAAACACACGAAAATGGGACACCCTGTACTGTATGTTAAATGAGTGTTTAATAACAATTTATTTTGTTTGTTTCAGATATCGAGATCTGGCGAGTATCGTATTCCCGGAAATAGAAGGGCGAAATGACTCGAAAGCGTTGCACATCCGCCCTAACCCTGGGCGCAATTGTGTTCTTGTGCGCGGTCGTGGTCGTGGTGTGGGTGCAATTCAGTCAAGGCGCTTTTGACAGGCGGTCGAGATACAAGGGTACCGATAAGACCACAGAGATGGGGGCAACCATTACCAGCGACTTGCAAGTAGAGCGGCAAACGTACGGAGGAACCGCGGAAGCGAACAGCACAAAATCAAAAGGTGAGTCGTTATTGGTTGATAAGTATTGAGATGGATGTAATATGATTCTTACTAGTATAAGAGATACAACAAAAAACGGACTAGTGCGAGTCGGATTCTCCGAACAAATCTGTAGGTACATAATTCAGGAATCAAGTATGGGCAATATATATATATATATATATATATATATATATATAGCAGTTATATATATATATATATATATATGGAGCAGCAAAGAGATATATATATATATATATATATATAGCATATATATATATATATATATATATATATATAATATCTTGTTCCAATAACCACATTTTTTATAAGGAATTATAGGTTTTAGAACTTGAATTTCTGGAAAAAGCACGGTATATATATATGTGCATATATATATATATATATACCGTGTTTTTTCCAGAAATTCAAGTTCTAAAACCTATAATTCCTTATAAAAAATGTGGTTATACTAACAGTTGATCCATAAATTAGGTAACCTAATCAAAATTGTTTTTTACTCAAATATCATCGAAAACTATATACAGCGTGTCCCAGAAATAAGTGTATAAGTATTTTAAGGTGTGGTAGATCTCGATAAAAGAAACATTTTTTTCTCTTTATCGTTTTTCAAAATAACGGAGTTAATTTTTACTTTGAGAATTTAAAAAAAAATATTTTTTTGCTAAAATTTTGAGAACCACTGTATCTTTTCTGTATTTTCTTTCTTGTAAATTTAATCTAATACCTATGTTGCCTATTGTTATATATATTTCAAATTTCAAAAATTCAAAATTTGAACCGCCGCGCCACGCTGTTCCATGCAAGACCCGTTTTTTTAGAGGAAAGTATTTTTTGTGATTTATATACAGGGTCTCCCAATATTCTGTGGACATAGAACTACTACGTATTTTTGGAAACAAAACAAGTTTATTGGACTTAATTTACCTCTATCCAAAAGTGCTTGGTTTGTCCACTCTTTAGTTGTTCTAGTAGTTCTTTAGTTTGTCTAACTATTTTTGTCTGTTCTTGGTTGTCACTCTTTAGGCATCAAAGTTCAAAAAAAAAATAAACACATTTGTCAGATATTTTAAGAACCGTTATTCCGATTTGAATGATATTTTGGGTGTCATGTTTTGTTAAGTGCTCTAACATGAGTGAAAGTCAATCACAAATATCAAGAAAAAGTACGGGAAGGATGAAAACGAGGATGAAAACTACCCTCATCTCTACATAAAATTTTTTCTAGTATTTACTACATGGGGGGGCTAATCACACCCCAGCGCCTCTTTAATTGCGCCACTGGTCATACCAAAGACTTCTTGGCCTGTCCCATGGCAGTATTAAGGTTAATTCTTAGTTACCTTCCATTTCCATTCCATATCCTTTCCATATCCGTTCCGTATTTTTTATTGTTTTGACGCTATACGTAAGCTTCCGTTCCATATCAGTTCCATACTTTTTATTGTACGATTTATATCATTACGAAGGTTTTATTTTAAAAATTTGTATCTTTTGAAAAAGATAATAGATTTAATCAACAACTCATATGGTTTGGTTCATAGAAACAACTCATATGGTTTGGTCATGTGCAACGAATGTCCGATCACAGAATACCAAAACAAATTTTACTGTGGACACCTCGAGGCGGAAATAAAAGAGAAAGGCCGCGATGAAGCTGGAGGGAGGGTGTGGATAAAGAACTAGAGAATAGAGAAATACCTGATGATCTCTGGCTAAATAGAGAAAAGTGGTGGTTAGGTGTCGGAAAACGTCGTAGAACGTTCTGAACCGACTTACATATATATATAATAAGATTTAATTAAGAAGTGAAAGAATAAATAAATATCAGCAAAATTTTAACACAGCTGGTACAGATGTATGAACATGACAACGCTGTTTCCGGTACGCTTCAGTCCGTCGCGTCCGCCAAACAAATGTACGGAAGGAATGGATATGGAACGGAAGGGAAACGGAACGGATAGTGTGCATTATCCTATTCATTTACATGATATAATATTTTATGTAAACGAAAGGGAGCTGATATGGAAGGTATAGGAAGAATCAACCTTTATTGTTCCATTTCTCAAATCGTCCTTTTTCCAGGTATTTAGAAATGATAAGTGCTGATTTTGTTCCAATAGAAGAATAGAATAGAATAAAATAGCTCTTTTCTCTTCTATGTCATCATGTTCCTGTATTCATATCGGTAATATCTTGTTCCAGTTTTCATGTAAGTTGAGTAATTTCTTAAAATTCAGAAATATCATTGACATGCATTTTGTTGTTTAAAGTTCTTTCAGAAGGGATTCAATATCAACAGTTTTAGAACTATTTTCAATGGTCAGTTGTAATATGAAAATAATATATTCTGTGTTTTAATATAAATCGGTGGTAGAATGCGAATCTAAAGTTAGAAAATTAAAGTTTAACAGGTAACTTATTTGTCTGAAAAGTCTCGCACGTATTTCATTATTTGTTAATTAGTATTACGTACGTTCTTTAATAATAACACGCGCACTGTATCATCCAAATGTGGAGGCGATCTTAATGTGTCTGCTGTTTGTCTGTTCAGACCAATTAACATTAATTTTCACGTTTCGATTCAGATAGCGACATGAGAGTATTAGGTGTTACTAATATCTTCATTAAGAGAACTTGCTTTTCTAGAAACTTATTCAAAGTAGATCCACGGAATACCAAATTAGTTACTGAAATTCCTGATAATCGACTAATATTTTTTACTTTAGTGATGACTAGTAGAGGAGGTGACAAAACGTTCTATATCTACTTGGTTTTCTATTTTTATTGCGACAGACTACAGTGATGGACTAGCTCATTAAGTTGAATTAATTATTTCCAGACTCATTGTCATTAAATTTACAAGTATAATTATTTATGTTTATATACAGGGTATCCCAGTAATAAGTGCAAGTATTTTAACTGGTAGTATAGTTCGACCCTAAAAACACGCCCATGAGGTTTTTTTGTGAAAAAAAATGTTGAAACTTTTATATTTTTCTTTTCGGAAAATATTGTTTTGTTCATAGTGCTCACTATAATTGCAATGTCGCCACCTCCTACGTTATCTATAATCTGTAAGTTATAAGTTGATAATTTTAAATGTCGTCAAAAAAAAAAAATTATTTTATTCATTGTAGATTTTTTAATCATTGTAGATTACTATTAGGTATCTACCGTATGATCGAGAAAAAACGGCGTCAACGATGGCTATGAAATGAAGATCGCTGTCATTTTATATGTAAATTTATATGGGAAATGTCATCGATCGTCATTTCCCAGCCAACTGGACGCCATTTTTTTTCGATCATACGGTACTATTTTAAATACCTTTTTTACAGTTTAGTAAACTGAAATAATGAAACTCTAAACAATGAACATTTATAGCAGCTTTATTACGAAATGCCATATTACGAAATATTTTCGATCGTTTCCTCCAATAACGTAGATATACATATACAGGGTGTCCCAGGCTGAGCATGCATTAGAAGTTTCTAGAGAACTACAATATCTAGATCGGAGATTTTTTGTACATCATTGTTTCACAACGAGATCTATCGATTAACAACATTTTTAATATGGCAACACTTCCGGAAATACCGGAAGTTGACAGCAACTTTCTTATTTTAAATGGGTGCCCCATTTTTTATTACATAATTAAATTCTTTGTAAAATTTTATGAATTTTGCTATTAAACACTCTATACTTAACATTAACCGTTTTTGAGAAAAAAAAAATATTTAAAATTTTTGGACGAAAAAAACTGCCTGTCAAAAATATGTGTATAGCCTAAACGTCAAATTTAATTATTACCACAGCCACTGTGCCATAAAGAGAAGACATGCAGCTATCTACTTCAAAAATGAAATTGTTCGAATGTCATAATATAATGACAGCAGCTGTAATGGAATTGAGTGATTAAAAAATTATCATAAATAATTATTTTGAAATGAAAACCCACTTTTTTTATTCCACTAGTGGAAAGGTTTTTCAATTCGTTACTTTTTGACTATTACATATTCCTATACCTAAAATAAATTGTTTTTAAGATATTTAAGATTTAGTTTTAAAGCGCATATTTTTCTTGATTTTATCCAGTAGCCTATGGCTTTAAACGTCAAGTGATGTAAAACAATAGATCTGGCTATGTCATATTGTGACACTTTGTTCAAAAAGCAGTATCGATCATCATTTTTAAGCCAACTTTGCACTGTTTTTTTTTTTGATCATACGGTATATTATTAATAATATCAACTATTAGATATCACTAAAGAGCGAAAATACGAGATATATTTTTATAAATACACTTTTTAAACTTTTAAGGGGGAAGACAGTATTTAATTTTATCATGGAGGAAATTCAAATAATTTGTTTTCTGACAGATGGAAATAAATTGTCTGACTGTTTGACACTTAATGTCAAAGGAATCTAGATCAAACCAAGAAAAATATACGTTTCAAACTAAATCTTAAATAACTTAAAAACGATTTGCCTGGTTAACTTAAAAACGATTGAATTGGAAAACCTTTTCACTAGTGAAATAAAAAAAGTGGGTTTCCATTTGAAAAAAAAATATTTATGATAATTTTTTAATCGCTCAATTCCATGACAGCTACCGCCATTATTATATGACATTTGAACAATTTAATTTTTAAAACAGATAGCCACATGTCTTCTCTTTATGTCACAATGTCACACTTGCTGTGGTAATCACTAAATTTGACTTTTAGGCTATACAAATTTTTTTGACAGTATTTTTGACTTAATTAATTCCTCGGAGTATGGACGCACCCTATAAAAATTACAAGGTCTGCCGTAAGTTCTTTTGAGGGTATTTGTTAAATTTTACATATTCTTTTGGAATCTCATATCATTTTTCATGTCTCAGTGTCTCTTTTTTGAATTATAAGCTGTTGGTAATTTAATGGTGTAGTAGTTTTTAATGAATTTAATGTTTACTATATTAAGAGAGATTAAACCATTTTAAATGTAAACTGGTA